GCGAGCGTGCGGGCCGCGCCGGGCATGTCCTAGGCGGCGGCCCCGCCCAGCGCTCGGCCGGCGGGCGGGAGGGCCGGGGCCGGGGCCGAGCCGGGGCCGAGCCGCAGGTAAGACGCGCGCCCCGCGCCCGCCGCGGCCGGGGCCTCCCTGCGCCCGCACCTGCGCCCGCCGGGCCGCGCGGGGATGGGGATGGGCGGGGGGGCAGGAGCCGGGGGAGCGGGTCTCCTCCGGGCCGGACAAAGGCGTGGGGACGGCTGCCGCGGGCGCACCTGGCCGGGCTGGTCCCCGCCGCCGCGGAGGCGGCCCGGGTCTGCGCCAGGCCGGGAGGGGCCCCCGGCGCGCGTCTACGCGGCCTGGAGAAGGGGGCGCAGGCCCTGCGCGCCGGGGTCTCCGCCCAGGCACCGGCTTGGCCATGGCTGCCCCGGCGAGCGCTGATTCAGAAGGCGCCGCTCCCTCCCCCTCCGGGCCCGGCCGCCGCCCGGCCTGGTCTGTCCTCCCGCGGTCCCTCCCTCCGTCCTCCTCCTCATTTCCCTCGTCGCCGTCGTCTCTGCGCGGTCCCTGCCTCCTCTCTCGGCCTGCTCCCGGCCTCCGTTCCGTCTGCTCCTTCCAGCCACCCGCTCGCCCCAGCTCCTGCCGCGCCCGGACCCTAACCCCATCCGTTCCCTCTCCCGGTCCCCGCCGGCTCCCAGCCCCTGCCCCGGGCGGCTCCACCTTCCCTCCTCTCCTCCGGGCGGGTGGCTTTTCTGGCTGGGGCGGCCGTGGGCTCAAGTTTGGGGTGTTTATTATTGTCCCTCCTAGCAGCGATGGCCAGCCCAGCCCCAATCCGGCTGGGCTGTTTGGGAACATCCTGGGGTGCCCGGCCTGAGCCTTTTCAGGATGGGCTGCTGGCGGCAGAAGCAGGGTCCCAGGGCTTGGCTTCCCTTTGCTGTAAACCCAGGCTGTGGCCTCCTCTGGGTGGGGTCGCTGCCTGTGGGAGCCAGTAGCAGGTGATGGAAGAGTGTGGGATGTGGGGGTTGGGAAGGGCAAGGATGGGGCCGGGGCTCTGCAGCAGAAAGCCTGTCCCCACCTGTCCCTACTCCCCCGGCCCTGAGGAGGGGTTTTAGAGTAGGTTGGGGTTGTGGAGGCCTCCAGAGCCCTGCAGGGCAGTGATGGTGGAGGTCCCCACTCCTTTGGCCTCTAGTGCCTGCTCCTCTGGCTGGACTCAGACGAAGTGCCTGGGGCTCTGGGGAGGGGGTTCTGGCAGACTTCTCCTGGCCTGGGTTTTTCCGCACCTTCCCACATGCTTGCCCCAGGTGACATGAGGCTATGCCATGGGGTCGCTTGGGCCTCTGTGGCCTGGTGGGTCCTGGTTTTGGCTTTGCTCACTGCCTGGCCCGAAGGGAGCTGAGAGCTGGGGTCTCTGGCTGTGGGTACTGCAGGAACAGGGACTGGGGATCCCCCCACTGCACCCACTGTCGATTCTCTCCCTTATGGTCTCAGCTCCTGTCTGTGTTCCATTCTCTGAGTCATGTCTGGGCCTCAGGACCTCCAGGGCTGGCCACGGGGCACCGACCCACGCCCTTCCATTGTGTCCCCTGCTCAGGCCCCATGCTCTGCTCACTGGTCCTCTGGCACAGAGGTGTTTTTGAAATTCATTATGACTTGTGGACAAGGCTACCCATTCTCACTTTGCACTGAGCCTGCCACAGCTGAAGCAGGTCCTGGAACTACCTTTTGCCTCCAGCACCCACCACAGGACTCCCCGCACCTTGTGACCTGTGTCTCTGGACTGGTTTCTTCCCTCTGCCCAGACCCAGCTGCAGCCGCCCGCACTCCCCCTTCCATCCACCTGGCCCTGCCCTGCTCCTGGCATTGCTCACACGTCAGCATCCCAGGGAGCCTTCCCAGACCCCCCACTGCTCCCCCACTTCTTCATTTTTCCTTTAAGACACGTACACCTTCTCAGAGCTTTTCACCTCTGCCGCCTGCCTGCCCAGCTGGCGGGAAGGCCGGTGGTGCAGGTCTCAGCTATCTCAGAGCCCAGGACATCCCTTGGCACCCAGCGGTGCTCCCATGTGATCTATCCAGTGTGTGTGTGTGTGTGTGTGTGTGTGTGTGTGTGTGGAGAGGAGTGGCTGGGACACTTGTGGGCTGTGCTCTGGGTGCACGTGTGTCCCACGTGTACGTGTGGGACATGTACATGCATATGTACATGTTGTTGTCTACGCACAGGGCCCACGGCAGTGACACAGCCCTTCTCTGGGGCTCTGGGTAAGCAAGGCACCTGTGTGAGAGTGTGTGTGTGTGTCGGTGGGGGGGCTGCATGGGGCCTCAGGTCGCCCCAGGGCCTGGTCTTTGGTGACATTGGCCCTTGTTGTCACTCAAATTGCCCCCACTGTGCCCCCCAAGCTACCATGGGGCTTCCCTGCCCATCTGGGCCATACCAGTCTGTCACGATGCCCTCGGGACCTCTGGCACCAGGCACTACCTCCGTCACATGCTGCCATAGTCACCTGGTACTGTCCTGGCTGGGGGACCTCAGCAGGATGGCTGCAGTGGTCCTCAAGGACTAAGTGACCGGTGTGTTGATGGCTCAGGGCTCCTGTCTTCAGGTGTCTTTCCCTGGCCCTCCTGCCAGGTGCACCCCAGAGTGTCCGGCTAGGGGAACCCAATCCCTGGTACAGAGTGTATTTCCTGGGGTGGGGTTGGGCCTGGGGTCGGGAGCACCCCGATGGGCCATGCCAAGTCCCGCTTGAGAGCTGTTCCTGTTCGGGTTTTGAGGACATGTGCGGCTCCACATGTGGGCAGTGTGGCCCATGCCTCCTCCCTCCTAGACGCAACGGCTGGCACCTAGGAGGGAGAGGAGAGGGGCCTAGAGCACAAGGGAGGACGGGAGAATGTAGCTGGGGTAGGCGTCTGCAGGGACAGAGAGGTGGCCTCGTATGGCCGGGGCCCAGCGTTTCCGGGAGTGGCCGCTGAGTGGCCTTGGGGGTGCTTGAGCCTTGGCGGGTTGCGGGGGCAGGATCTGGGCTGGGCCTTTTGTGTCCAGGGGCCGGGGCCCAGGGCAGGAAGGCAGCTCTCACGTCTTCTTCCCCGTAGGGCCGCACGGGCCTGGCCGGTGCCAAAATGAGCGTCACATCCTGGTTCCTGGTGAGCAGCAGCGGCACCCGCCACCGGCTCCCGCGAGAGCTCATCTTCGTGGGGCGCGATGAGTGTGAGCTCATGCTGCAGGTGAGTGTGAGCCGCTCGGGGCTGAGAAGGCAGGGGTGGGCCCAGGCCAGGGCCGCCCATCCTGCTCGCTGCGGGATACCAGCGGGGAGCCCTCAAGGCGGCCCTGGACCCACAGGTGTGGGTGTGCGGCCCGAGCGTGTGCTCGCGGGGTGGGTCCCTGCCTCTGCCCTGCGGACTGTTTCTGACAGGAGGGTGTTTAGGCTCCTCTCAGGTTCTCAAGGCATCAGGGACCCACCTTTGGAAGGTGCTGGAAAGTGGACCTATCCATAGCTTTGTTGTCTGGGGCCCAATTGGGCCATTGCACAGAGTGGGGAGCCCCAGAGCCAGCTGGGACCGTCGGAGCTGCCTGGGGAAGGCACTGCCCCTCTGAGGCACCTGGGGGCAGGGAAGGGTCCTTTCTCGGCCTGAGAAACCTGGTAGGGCCAGGCACCGTGCTCTTGGCCGTCTCAGGCCCTCGGTTTTGGAGTGTGGGTTTGGCTGTCACCGGGCTCGTGTGTCTGAGAGCAAGGAGGGTCCCCCGACTCAGGTGTCCTTTTCCCTGTGCTTCATGGGTCTGATTGAGTCAGGCTTCCTGCAGCCCTGCTCCCGCCACGTGGCATGTGGGCCCTTAAAGCCCCCCAAGCTCCATGCCCCCCACTGTGGGACCCTCAGAAGGAAACAGGTGTCCTGGGTGGGCCTCTCAGGTGCAGGGAGGGCCTCGCGCAGGCCGTGGCTCCCTTGGGCAGGGCCGGCTGTTGTCGCCCGCTCCCTGGGCCGCCGGGGCTCTGGCTGCCACCAGGGGTGCCACGGTGGGCACGCACGCTTGGGCAGCAGGTGTCAGTGTCCCTCTCTTGAGGGCAGACCTGTCCTTGTCTGGACACCCTGGCTTGCCCCGAGGGTCCTCAGACTTGCTTGACTAGACCAGCAAAGTGCCCGAGTCGCACCAGGTGTCTGGGCCTTCTGAGTGTCTTTGATCCAGAACCGTCTGTCGTCTTACTTCTCTTCATGCCTCTGGCTGCTGGAGAACCGAGTCGGTGATTGTATGGGGGTGGGCACATGTCTTCTGTAAAGACCAGGGTGCGTCCTGGAGGCCTCTCGGGCCGCACACTGCCTTGGCCGCGACTCTACTCTGCTGGCGTCCAGAAGCAGCGGCTGAGGACAGTCGGGCAGGTAGCGCCGGGGAACCCTCTCCGTGGGCATCGAAATCTCAGCGTCCTGTCGCTTCCACACGTCATGAAATGGTCTCGACTTACAGAAAGCCGTCTGCAGGTAGAAGGGGCCGCGCGCGTGGTGCGCACGGAGCAGACAGCGGGCTGGGGTCGCGCCCCTGGCGTCTGGAGCCGCATGTTGAGGTTGGGGCGTGTCTGGCGGGTCCTGATGGTGACGCGGAACAGGAGCCCCGTTCTCTGTCACGGGAGGCGGGTCTGGAAGTGTGCTGAGTCCCTAAGCCCCGGCAAGGTGCCGTGCGCCTGGGTAGTGTGTTCATGCTATGCGGGTCTTCCTAGGGTGGCCAGGAGGGCCTCTGGGAGGAGGCAGCATTTGATGGGGGCCCAGGGCCCGGCTCCCCAGGGATTGGCGGAGAGGTTTCTGGGTCAGGAGGTGGGGATCGGGATGCTTGAGTGAGTTTGGGGTCCGGTTCCTGGTTCTGGGGCCCGGTTCCCGGTTCTGGTTTGTCAGTGGTGGAGCCTTTAGCAGGGCAGGAGCCGCGGGCACTTCTTAGCCCTTTACGCAGGGCCAGCCCCTGGCTCAGGTGCACCTGTGCTCCTCTCCTTGCTGTCCTCTGGCACCTGGGGAAACTGAGGCTCCAGGAGACCATGCTTGCTGTCCACCCCTGCAGCCTCCTTTCCTGCCTGGCCCTGAGCTCCTGGGTGGGTCCACCCCTTGCATCTCCTGGGGGTCCTGTCACACCTGTGCCTTGGTTTTCTCATCAGTTCGGGTGTCCGTAGTGTCCTTGACTGTCTTGTCCCCGGCCTCTATCCACCTGCGTTCATAGTCCGTGTGGGCATCACCGAGGCAGCCCAAGCTCTGTGCAAAAGCCGCATCCTCCATCCCCTCCAGCAGGTCCCCGCCAGCGTCCCCACCAGTGGTCCAGGGACACACCCTGACCTTCCCTCTCCCTTATCCACAGGTGGCTCTGTCACCGCACCGGCTCAAGGGACAGGCACACCGGTGGGTCCCAGCCTCACCCTACTGCTGCCCCCCCCACCCCGATCCTTCCCAGGCAGCTCCTTCTCACCCCCGCCCGCCTCGTGCTCTCCTCTGTACGGTCCGTGTCCTCACCCCCATGTTGTCACTTGGCCGACCCTGCAGAGACCTTGCCTTCCGGGGTCGCTGCTCCCTGAGCAGGGGGGGGGGGGCCCAGCCACACCCATGTCAGCAGGGACCAGATGAGTCCCAAGGACGGAGGCCTGCAAGAGTTGGTACTGGGAACAGGATGGAGGGAGGTGGGGCCAACGGGCCTCTCAGGAGGGGTGCAGGGGCCAGCAGTGGTGCCCGGGTGCAGGGAGGAGGTGGTGCGGGGAGGCAAGGCAGCAGAGGGCCGTGCAGGGGCCTGTGCTGCAGATGAGGTGGGAGGGACTATGGCTTGGCCCTCGGGGGCAGAGGAGGTAGGGGGTGTGTAGGGAGGTAGAGCCAGCCTGCCTGGCCCCATGCTGCCCCACGCTTTCTGAGCCCGGCCCAGAGCCAGTGCCCTGGCAACGTGTGCTGACTGACACGAGTGCGAGTGTGCAGGTGGGCTGCCTGCCCCGGCCCTTACCACCGGGGGCCCAGCGCTGTGGTGCGGGGCATGTGCCCGTGCACGTGTGTG